GAGTACTATCAGGCAGTGTGCAGTGAAAAATACGATGTCGCCGAACAGGTTTATGATTTGAAACATTTTCCAAGTATTTGGATGTCCTTAAACCCTTTGTTTAAATTATAACTGGTTTCCTTTCATTCCTGCTTCACTAACTGATTTTTCTAGAATCGTTTTGTCACTACATGTAAGTGCAGTATAACACTACAGATCACGTAGCAGAGTGTCATATTTGCCCTTTAACACACTAAAAAACACTATAACCCAAGCATAAATGGCACTTTAGTGTGCTTGGGCTCTCATTATAGATGGCCTAAAGCTACAAGATACCCGCCTTTATTTGCTGTTTTAGCACAAGCGCAAACAGAAATTCTCATTTAGATCTGAAACAATGTAACCCTGCAGAAACACCGCTGCAGTATGACGTTCGGCACTTACGTTGCAGTTTCCGGCTGCGAATGCCCCCATGGCTGCAATCACACCGAAGACCAGTGCAAATTTACTCAGCATGGACTGACTTGAGTGCCTCTCCATTATATGGGCATGGTGGAATATGCAGAACAGGAAGACTAAAGAAGAGATCGCAGTTGGTGTGACACACATCCCTCATACATATATATGTGTGTATAATGGTTTAGGCATTTAGCAGGTAAACTCACACATGAAGGATCCGGCGTTGATTGTGGCTGTAAAAAGTGAATTTTCTGGCGGATATGTTCCACTTGAGCTGAAATAACATATTTAGTTTGTTTCATTCTGTCTCAAGATTTCATTCCAAGGAAGAAGAAAAATGAACGGGTGCATTTAGTCTTCTTTTACCTTATTGTAGGAACCCAGCAGCATCCAGCATCAGTATGATTAGCCCTGCAGTAGTTGCCGTTACCCCTGCGAACAAGTTAATTCCATTTTAGAGGCTGCATTATTAAATAAACACTGGGTCATATTTAAAACAAAATGAGGATGATTTAAAAAGTCACCAGTCAGTGAGGGCGCACACATGATTGTTGGAGAAGGCTAGCCCGTATCTGGAAATATAAAACAAAAGAAAAACTGTTAAGAATCTGCAAACATCAAACCAGAAATGCTTCCAAGGAAGTGTCACAGCATGTGAGCATCAACGCCAAGCACGTTTTCAGTTTGGTGTGACTCAGTCGTTAAAGTCGTTTGTTCAACAAGATTTTCTTTTATGAACTTAGTGACAGACACAGTTCACACCCTGCAAACAGAACAAGCCGGCTCACATATTTTCAAACTCCAAAGCAGGTGAGTTCTGACGTGCCTTTACATTTAGAAGCTGCTCTGACGTCGACGACTGCTTCCACAGACGATGTGCAGATAAAACAGTACAATAAAAGATTGTGAAAAGCAGCGGAAATAATATGATGCCATTTTCTTTACTTCCTCTTCATGGCCAAATGTTATCAGCATTGCAGAAATCCCACTGATTTCTGAAAGTGCCAGGAAAACGCAGTTCATGTACTAAGCTTGACTATCAAGTACGTGGTGTGACGTTATCGGGAAAAACATTCAGATATGAATAAACTCTGTTTACTAGTTTCACATAGAAAGAACATTGTTATGACTGAGTAAAAATGACATGTTTAAAAACGTTCCCACAGCTTTATGACAGTGTAAATGTCAAAAAACAAACAGTGAATCTGTAGTAAACTTACACACTCCACGTTCCAATGAAGGACACCAGGGAAAGACAGATGGGGAAAATAATCCACAACCCCATGTCTGGATGATGATGACGACAAGCAGCAAAGAGACGGATTCCAGAGGTCCAGCTGTCTTAAAAATACTCAATGTCAAGCCTCTTTGGGGGGTTTATAGAAGCCTCATGCAGTCAGCATTATATACAATCAGTACTAGAACAGAAAACCCCCCCAAAAAATCCTAACTTCAAGTCCTTGGAGCAGACGTTTGCACTGCTGTTGGTAGTTTAGTCTTCCTCCATCCGGAGGACTACCTCCCTTTTAAATCAGACTGTCTCTGCCACTCCTTCAGGGCACCACCTTGCTGTGTTACAACAAATATTATGAAACACAGGGTTGGTCTTCTTGTCACATTATTTGTTTTGTCGACGGTCTCCCTTCTATAGTCCTTGCCAGCTACTGCTCTGTTTGACACGTATTAAAGATCAACTCAAACAGTAAATGTTTGGAGTTGTGCACAGATTTGAATTTATGAGAATTTTCCAATGAATGGCTGGTAGGATTATTAGATTAGACAAGCTTGGAATGCTTTAAGCCCCGTGTCTTGTCTTTCCTGTCAGGTAGGTGGCTACGTGCACCCTGTACAGTCATTTCAATAAATATGAATTTCAGGTACTTGTACTGTACATGTGTGTGTGTCTGTGCTGTAGTCTCTTTTATACTACATAACATTTATTCTCAACTACATTTTGGAGGAAAATATCCAATATTTGTTTTCTACATTCCCCACATAAAGTACTGTGCAAAAATCTTGAACAACCCAAACACTGGGAAAAGGCTGAGATGTGCCAAATTATACAAGACAGTGGCAAAAGGTCTTATGGACTGATGAATCCAACTTTTTGTTTGAAATCATCATCAATATGTAGGGAAGAGGTCAGGAACGAGGTACAGCAGTGAGCGTCTACAGCCGTCTGTTAAACACAGTGGGTCCCCTGTAATGGTTTGTAGCTAAATTTCACACAGTGGTGTCAGAAAACCTGTCAAAACAGAGAAATACCATCAGATTTTGATCCACTGTGCAATACCACGTGTCAGCATGACAATGATCCCAAACACACACAGTAAAAGCATAGCCTAACAGGAAAAACACACACAAACACGAAGAGCTTTAAATGTGCTACAAGAATTCTAGGCAACTATTCATGAAGGCTGCTTAAAGAGGTGACAAGAAAGTAGGCCGAGAGTCTTCAGGCTGTGTTGGAAAATAAAGGTAATCATAGCAAATATTGATTTTCAAGCTAGTATGGTACAAACTACCTTTTGTCTCCTTTATTGTGTTTCTACGTCTTTGCACAAGTTTCAGTAAATTGCTGCACCTGTTTCCTGTTTTCCTAACAAATGATAAAATGAGCGGTGACTCAAGACTTTTGCACAATACAGTATATATTTACTCAACAACTGAATTACAGGCTGCTCTTTTAGAATGCATTTAAATTGTAAATCCAACACTTATATTTATATTTGATTATCAATATATTTTGTTGTGGATCACTGGAGTGAAAATAATTTAATGATCCAAGTCCTTTCTTCACCTACTGGTTTAGGAAAAAGCAACCAATCATGTTTGGTTTTTAAACTTTTGAAAGTCATTGGTTAGCCTCCCTGAAGCATTACACATGGATGATCTAATAAATCCACAACACTTGATCACAGGGCAAATGATAAATCAGTGTCAGATATTTCTTTTATATTTCGGAATAATGTAAATCCTCAAAGGAGAAATGATCACTCGTCTCTTCGGAGAAAAGTTTTCTTTTAATTTATGGCGCATTCTTTGTTCTTAGTAACGTTGTTTCAACTCTGTTACACGGTGAGGTAACGCAATACTCTTTCAGGAGAGGATCGGGGTTTGGGGAGGCCGAAAGAGAAGTTCTAGGGCGTTATACTTATTGTGGAGGTGCCAAAAAAAGACGTGGCAGCTCAACGTGCTGTCTGGCTGTCTGCCGCGTGGGGTCCTCATTTTCTAAACAAACAAAATGGCGGCGCGCATGAGATGGGGTCTTCAGCAGCTTTTACGGACAAGAAATACGGCTCACTTTAGGTTTGAACTATCCCCAGCGTTGGTCCACCGTACTGTAATACCTATATGATGAGTCTGTGTAAAGCATAAACCAGTATTGCGACGCGTCTCTGCATTTGAGACAGAAATTAGCTTTTAGCCAGCTACATAGCTAGCAAGCAAAACAAATGGGACAAAGCTTTGTCTCCAGGCTAACTCATCCGCCTAGGTGTGGTTGGAGCTGTGGAAGAAAGTAGTTTAGTCTAGTGTTAGTTAGTTTAGTCGTTTTCACTGTGAAAATCACGTGGTAGCTGGCACACGGCCGCTAGCTAGTTAGCATAGTAAAACTTCATTGTTAGTGAGAAGGTTATTCCATGCATAACAACGCCACCCGTTTATATCCTGCCTCAATAAATGAATGAGTTGAGGGGATATAAGGTGTAATGTGTTCTTTGTGCTTCAAGGTTTCCACAGCCGACCAGATGTTCATACCACTCACTGTCCACGACTCCGAGCTTCAGAAGAGTCCAGCCTCACCTCGGGATAGGAGCCACACAATTCCCAAGTGAGAAACTCTTTTAGAAGTTTGAAAACCTTACATACGTTCACTGCATTATGTTATGCCTGAGCTGATGGTTATGTAATGTCTTACAGTAAGACACCTGTCCATCCAGACTCAAGATACACCGAACCCCAGAAGCCTGAAGTTTCTTCCCGGTAAACCCGTCCTAGGAAGTGGAACGCTTGACTTTCCTTCTCCAAGCTCGACTGGATGTTCTTCTTTAGCCAGGTTGTGTGTCAGACTTAGTGTTGCACTTCAAACACATTTGAAGCCTTGGGAGGCACGTGTAACAGGGCTAGCACTAAAACAAGAAGAATATACTGTATGCTCACTTCATAAGGTACACTGTGCTAATACTAGGTTAGACCTTGTTGGCTTCCTTGAATCATCCCTGTAGTCATAAAGGGATGGACATGCTTAGCACAAGACTCAGGTGAGCTGTGGTATTTAAATTATTCCCAGTTGGAACTCAGGAGTGTTTCAAGAGAATATCCCCCACAAAATTATACCTCGAACAACCTGAACCATTAATATAAGGCAGGATGGATCCATGGTTTCATGTTGTTTATACTAGTTAATGACCCTACCATCTGAATGTCACAGAAATCAAGACTCAACAGATCAATTTTATTACTATTTACTATTGTCCAGTTTTGCTGAGCTCATGCAAATTGTAGCCTCAGTTTCCTGGGGGGCAGGTTTGAGCCTGTGTAGCCTTCCTGTGAGCTTTAAGCAGTTTGTCACTCACTGGCTATTTTCTCTCTCTTTCTTTTTTACCATTCTCTATAAACAAATAGAGGTGTCTTCAGTTCTGATCATGATGGGGTTGCTTGGCTGAATAATACGTATAGCTGATGTGACAGATGTAAACCCTGAAAATAACATTTTGGTCCTCAGTGGATTCCTGAGGAGAGACACATCGGGTTCCTTTGCACATTGTCAGGATGTTTTTTTTTCTTTGCTGATACTTTTAGTATCCTGAGTCTGATTTGTAATCACAAAACAGACCAAAAGGACTTCATTGTTTCATGATATGTTTTTTTTATTTCTTACTGAACATGATAATGTGTTTCTCTCAGAGACCTCTTTGAAATTGAAGGAGTACAGAGTGTGTTCTTTGGCCCCGACTTCATTACTGTCACTAAAGTAAGTATTTAATGTCCTCTTACAGTTTGTCTTTGTAGTTATAGTCTAATCATATAATACATGAGATGTTTGTTTTCCTATCAGACGGACGAGGATGTTGAGTGGACGGACATTAAGCGTCATGCTCTGGAGGCCATTGCTAAGTTCTTTGAGAGTGGTGAGCCGATAACAACGGGAGCAGTGCACCATGAAAGCAGTGAGTGTACAGTGTGAAAACATGCAACTTTTTGACTTGAAATTGTGTAAATATTTTCCTGTTTTACATTTCTCTTTACTGTAGGTCATTCTGAAGATGATGATGATATTGTTTGTATGATAAAGGAGCTTCTGGACACCAGAATCAGGTAGCGATTTCTCAGTACTGTTGAGAGCTGCTTAAGTAAACCACAGTTGCGCTTCAGAAAGTATTTATGGCACGGTAACATAATACCTTATTGCTTCACTCACGTTCACAAAAAAAGATGTTGTTAGTGTTCTAAGAGATAGTTGTGCTGAGATAACGGTCTTAATCTCTCTGTTTCTCTGTCCTGTTCTGTACCAATTGATACGGTCGCTCTTAATCACAAGACCTACAGTGCAGGAGGATGGAGGTGATGTCATCTTTAAGGGTTTTGAGAACGGAGTAGTCAAGCTGAAGCTGGTTGGTTCCTGCACAGGTTGTCCCAGTTCTACTGTCACACTGAAAAATGGGATCCAGAACATGATGCAGTTTTACATCCCTGAAGTGGACAAAGTGGAACAGGTGATAATCTATAGAGCCGTTCTGGGATAAGTTTTTGTGTAAACTCTTCTGATATCAAGTTTGAGAAACTCTTGTTTGGATAAATAAGTCATCACATACAGAAAATTCTGCAGTCACTTTAAAGCGGACTTATTAAGATCATTTCTGCTTCATATTTTTAGTCTTGGACTCTTCTAGAGTGGTTTTGTATTATTCATTTGTTCAAAATGATTGTTAGTGCGTCCCTTTACAAATGAGCTGTTTTGTTTATTACTCCTATCCAATTTTTCTTTCAAAAGTAGAAAAATATTTTAGCCTTTGCTGGTTTCATTATTTTAAACGTAAATTTTTTTGTTCCCCATTGAAAGCTACTGGAGCATAAATACTGAAATGTTAATGCTGGCTATTAAAGAAGGGGGTAATGCAGCTTGTTGCATGTGGGCTGTGTACAGTATCCACAGACTTGCATTTGCCTACAGAGGACACGTGAAGATCAGAAATCAATCATGGAACCAAGAGAGGATCATGGCGTGGTTTGATGAATTATGTTTTTCTTTAGGTCAGGCTTGATACCACCAGGATGCACTATATCAATATGAAGAAGGCAAGCTAGTGGAGGAATTGTGATTAGGAAATATTTTAGGGAAACCCTGGGTCCGTGTGGATGTTACTTTTACATACACACATTTGCACTACACCTTCAGAGCTATTCTTGCCATACAAGGTGGCAAGAAGCAGGAAGCATTCATTTTACAGCTGATGGGTTTTCCAAAGCTCAGTTGCAAGCTCGGTT